CTCTTTCGCATCCACACCTGTATGTGTGTGTGTGCATGTTTGCGCCCGAGTTTGTTTATTGAGTGTTGCTAGTCAAATGTTTTTCATTTATAAAAGCTTAGTTAAGTACCAATGAAAGTTCCTTGTTGACGATTTTTAAATTCATTTTTCTATATTTCCAGTCATTTTCTAGGTTTTTGGGACAGATTTAGATATACATTATCTAATGTTTGAAGAAGAAAAATCTCTGTTTAAAGCCACTGTCTAATATTGTTTGGACATCGACGGACGAGGCGAGAGGTCAATGTGCGTCAGACATAATGACGGTTTCCCCTAAGAAAATACAGGTTCAAGTACTACCGGAGAGCACATATTTTTCTCCAAAGTAAACAAAAACTATTTATTGAATATTCAGGCCGGTAGACAAAAATAACTTAATATAATTTTAATAAAAAAAAAAAAAGGAGTGACTACTCAAATACGATTGTCAATTAAAATATAATAAAATTAGGTAATAAAAATCCTTTATATCTGTGCGGTTTTGTGTAAATCTCTTCTGTCTCTGTCTCTCTGTCTCTCTCTTCTATATGTATATATATATATATATATATATATATATATATATATATATATATATATATATATATATATATATATATATATTTATATATATATTCTATATATATATATATATATATATATATATATATATATATATATATATATATATATATATATATATGTATGTATTTATATATATATATATATATATATATATATATATATATATATATATATATATATATGTTAGTACACGTTTGAAATATTTTGGATAGTTCAACTTGGTAGTAGAACAAATCGGTATATTATTGAGGAAAAATTTTGAATAAAAAAACAGAAAAACCAAGAACATTAAAACAAAGCGAAATAATCGTCCAGTGTTTAAGCTCCAAGTCCAAAAAAAGCCCCCAAAACGAGTTAAAAGACAACTACGTAAAGTGATCAATACACTATGTAGAGCAAAACACAAGATAATCCTAAGGAGCCAGGCAAACCTACCTAGGTTTCACCTAAACAGATCTTCAGGGTAAAGCCGGCTGAAAAGGAAAATTATGGAACAGAATTAATATATATATATATATATATATATATATATATATATTGTGCATTGGGTATTTTGTCGACTGCACAATATAGTAAGGTCAGATGGGCACCGCCTGTGAGAAAAAGGACGAAATTCCATAAATTTAGAAAAGACATGCTGTACTGTTTGTCATTCGCACCGGAAGCACCACTACGGATATTTTAGAGTGTTTGGATGTCTTTACTCTGCACCATGGCATGCAAGTAGGAAAAGCCAGTCATAGCTGTCAGGCAATTTCTCCAGCCACGTCACCACCATTTATCTATCCATCTACCTCCCCAGACTGCAAACTCTTTGGTTATTATGTGTTGAGCGAAGGTGAGCGAGAGACAAGCAAAACTCCTTGTAACACCAAAGATGAACTGAGGTTAAGGATTATGACAGCATTCCCCAACTTTAACAAAGATACCGTCCAGAACAGGTGAAAAAGATTCCTAAGTCTTCTGGTTGAACCCAGTGGTGATTTTATTTATTATTCTTAAGTATTTCAAGATATTTTGGTGTAATTATGGTAACAAAAATGAGATGTCAGTGTTATTTTCATTTTGCATAATTTAGATGACAATATATCCATCGCATCCATGTATATATATATATATATATATATATATATATATATATATATATATATATATATATATATATATATATATATGCACATTTCATTGAATACGACAGAAAAAAGTGCTTTTATTTATTTTTTATACGATTTCTCAGGCGGTCTAAGCATTTCTTTCTTTTCAGGTAATGAATTATATCAGAACTGTCCGAATGTTCTTTTTATCCGAGCGCTTTCAGCTATACATTTAGCCATTTTCAAGCATTCGATATTTTAACTGTTAAATAAGAAATACTTTGTTGCATGTATTTTTTATAAAATGTTTCCATTTTTCAAAACACGGCCAAGATATTGTGTCCATGTTCATAGTTAATATTATTAAGTGTTGTTTCTTTTTGTTTTTATTAATAAGGCTTCCATTATTTTGACCCTTTTTTTTTTTTTTGCCTGTAGATGATGTTATTATATTAATGTTGTCAACAAATATGCTACGAAGAGTGTCCGGTAGGTCTCCATGAATATTTAAATGAGATCTAATTGAGCTATGGTCAGAGAGGTGTAGGGTGAGTCTGTATATATATATATATATAGATAGAGAGAGAGAGAGAGAGAGATAGAGAGAGATAGATGTATACATAATACGTTGAATTTTATATGTATATAGGAAGATAGATAAAATAATTTATATATATATATATATATATATATATATATATATATATATATATATATATATATATGAATATGATAAAATAATTTTTATATGTATATAGAAAAAATAGATAAAATAATCTTCACATATACAGGGGTTGGACAAAATATTTGAAACACTTGTTAAATTTAAAGAAAATTTATTTAATATGGAGTTGGTCCTCCTTTAGCCTCACATACAGCTTTAATACGTTTAGGAATGGAATCATACAGTTTTCTGATTTCATCCAGAGGAATTTTCGGCCATTCTTCCATTAACACCTGCACTAGCTCTTTAAGACACGGCGATGAAGGATAGCGGCCCCTAAGTTGTCGCTTCAAAATGCACCACAAATGTTTAATAATATTGTTATCTGGAGACTGGGTAGGCCACTCCACGTGTTCTAGCTCACTTTTATGCTCTTCATACCAATTCTTAACCACTCGAGCGGTATGTATTGGGGCATTATCGTCTTGGAAGATGGGGTCACCATCAGGGGATAAATTCTGAGCCATTGGATGAGCATGATCACACAAAATGTTCAGGTTTTCTTTGCTGTTGATTCTAACACGCAGTGTAACTATTGGACCGATATATTTCCATCGTATAGCGGTCCAATCTATCACTGATCTACCACCATGCTTCACTGTTGGCAGTCAGGGTTGTAAGCTTCTTTGGGCTGCCTCCACACATAAACTTGCCCTGAAGTTGTGAAAAGAGAAAAACTGGACTCGTCTGAGAATATGACTTGTTTCCATTGCTCTGCATCACTTCAACCTCTTCTGAATGTCGCGAGTGGAGAGGTTTCCTTACGGCGGCTCTTCCATGATATGCAGCCTTATGGAGCTCACGACGAACAGTTTTAGTAGAAACTAGACTATTCAGATGATTATTCAATACAGCAGTCACTTTGGCCGCAGTAGGCCGATGATTTTTCGCCACATTGCGTTTCAATGCACGTCGGTTCCTGTCAGTAAGTTTGCAAGTCCGGCCCGAATTGCTATGCTTGCTAGAGGTTTTACCCTATTTCTTGAATTGCGTCATAGTTCTTGATATGATAGCTCTTGAAAAAACAAACAGATTAGCAATCTTAATGATCGAGGCTCCTGTCATTCGAGCTCCAACAATTTGCCCATTTTCAAACTCAGAGACGTCACGCATTTAGCTTAAATTTTACTAAATTGTAAAAATAAATAAACCAAAGACGGTAAATTCGATAAATAAACGTATTTACAATAGATATAACCTGCAATTACGAAGTTTTAGTTAAAGTTCTTAATATAATAGGTCTTTGAAATTTAGGAGTGGAATGTGCACCTGTTCTCATTATATTGTCCAACCCTTGTATATAGATACATAGATAATAAAATAATTTTTATATATTTATGTATATAAATAGATAGATAAATAATAAAAAAATTATATATATATATATATAATATATATATATATATATATAGACTTTAGAGAGAGAGAGAGAAAGAGAGAAGGAGAGGGGATATATATATATATATATATATAGATAGATGATAGATAGAGATTATAAAATAATCTTTCGACAAAGATTTACCAGTGTCATATGATAGAATAAGGAAAATAGTTTACAAAATAGTTTAATGAATTCAACACGTTTCGCTTTTATTTAAACTTCATCAGGAAATTTTTGTAATGAGTTATGCGAGAGAAAACTCTGTTATCGAACTCAAAGTACCTAAATCATTTCCGAATATTTCTGATAAAACATAAATACAAGCGAAACGTATTAAATTTAATATTTAAACTATATTTTTAATACTTATTCCCGAATTTGGGACAATAACAACGAATAATGTTATGTTAAAAATAAATCTTTGTTTTTGAAAATTCATACTTTTTTATTCTTAGTATACAGAAAACTTACTCGTACATACTCAGCATACATATACACAGACACATGCACGTACACACATGTGTGTTAATAATTTCTTCAATCCTAAAGTTGCTGATTCTGTTGCCTAAATCCTGCAGCGTTATTGTGGAATGATTACCATTTTAGCCGTTCCATTTTCTTCTTCTGCTTTCCTCAGCTAATGTTATTTTACAAGGGGAGAAAAGTAAAGAAAAAGGTAGACGAGTAAAAATTAATTGGAGAAATATTAAAGAAATGTACGCAAGTAGAAAGTTGGACATAATTGAAATAATAGCATGAAAAAAAAAGACAAGGAAAAGAAAAAATAAGAATATGAGTAGAGAGAAGAAATGGAAATTTAAACAATGGACGAAGAGAAAAATAGAAATCGAGAGACGGAAAAAATGTAAAGAAAAGGAAAGCGGGAAAAATTAGAGAGATGGAAAGAAAAAAGATAACCAGATGAAAAGAGAAGAAAAAGCGGAAGAAAATATTTGTTAACAAGAGATGAATGGGAAAAAGAAAAGAAGAGAATTGGAGAGACAGAAAGGACAAAGAAAAATAGATGAATAGATAAGAAAAAAAATGAAAAAAAGTATAAGAAGAGAGAAGAAAGGGGAGATGAAACGTTTGGAAAAAGAGAGAAAAAAGAAAGAAATGAGACGAAAGGAAAGAAGTAAAAATACAAGAAGAGAGATAAAGGAAAAAAAGGAAAATAGAATAAAGGAGAAAAAAAGAACTAGAATATATTAGAAAAAGAGAGAAAAAGGAAAGAGAAGTAGAGAAGAGAAATGTCAGAAGAAAAATAGAGGAAGAGAGAAATGGAAGAAGAAGAAATAGAGAAAGAGAGAAATGGAAGAAGAAGAAATAGAGAAAGAGAGAAGTGGAAGAAGAAGAAATAGAGAAAAAAGAAAAAAAGCAATGATACAAAAAATGTGTGAAAAATAGAAGAAACGAAAAAAGGAAAAACGGAAATAGAAAGATAGAGGAAAATAAAGGTAAAAAGAAAAGAACGATTTGAAAGAGAGAGAAGTGAAAAAGAAAAAAAACTATGGAAAGAAAATAAGAATACAGAAGAGAGAGAGAGAGAGAGCGAGAGAGAGAATTGAAAAAGTATAATTAGAGAAAAGATAATAAAGGAAGAAAAGCTTGAAAAAAAGAGAAGAAATAAAAAAAGTAGAAGGATAGAGAGAAGAAAGGAAAAATAGTAAATAAATAATGAAAAGAGAAGAAAGAGAAAAAGAAACAAGAGAAGAGAAAATGTGAAAAATGAAAGTAGAGAGAAGAATAGGAAGAAGAAAAACAATGGCAGATGAGACAAGAAAATGGAAATAGAAATGAACCGGAGTAAAGAAAGGGAAGAGATAAAAAGAATAGAAGAAATGAAAAAAAAAACAACATTTGAAGCAAAGATACTAAAAGGAGAATGGAAATAATGGACAATAAGATAAAATTTAAGAAAAAAAAAAGAATGAAAGAAAGAAAAAGAAATGGAAGAAGAAAACAATGGCAGATGAGACAACAAAATGGAAATTGAAAAGTGGCAAATAATCACTTAAATGGAATTGGGGAAATTATAATAAAAAATAGAGAGAGAATGATAAAGATCAGAGAAAGATACATGAGAAATGTTTAAAATGTAAAGGAGGAAAATTATTTACTTTTAAAATGAACAATACAAATAGGAAGGGGTTTTCTTTTACTCGCGTGTATAGAAATAATTACTCGCTTCTGTTCCTTTATATTTTTAGTAGATAAATCGATCACACGCTCTGCTACACATGTACTGTCAAAAGAAAATCACACATCTATGCAGAAGAGAAGGAACAGAGAGAAAGAGAGAGAGAGATAGAATGAGAGAGAGAGACTGTAATGGACAGAGCTGATAAGAATAACAAACGGACGAATTCTTTCATATCTCTTCAATATGCTTCTCTTCATAAGGATATATAGTTCCATATTTTCACTATATTCTTTCACTAAACATATCATGAATTAATGCCGCAGTGTTGCAAGTTGTTGATAGAGTGTTCGATCGTTTCTCAAGAATAAAGTTTTTTTTTCTTGCTTATTATATTTTCAGGACATTATGGTCATAGCTCGCCACAATTTCCTTTCTTTTGAAGCACTTAGTAGTTTGTCTTTTTGCTACTGTGTTAACCAGCGTTCTCCTATCGATTTAAACAAGCTATGCTGTGCATTGTTTTCCTCTGTCCCGTTTGATTTTAGTGTATTTTGGGTGTGTCAAATTTTCTAAGTCCACTTTCCGCATTATACACTCTAGAAATTTCAACACCCACTTTCTGATTCCAATTATAAATTATGTTTTCGTTTACACTTTTTCTAAAACTTCGTCGTTGCTCTCATGTCCAATACATATCATTCTCAGCATCCTCCTGTAGAACTAGATTCCTATTGTCTTTTATTTTCTTCATCAGTTTTAAAACTTTTCAGCATTCTCTGCCATATTGGAGAACTGATATTACATAATAGTTCAGGATTTTTTCTAAGGAAATGTCCCTGTTTCATAATACTTTGCTTAGATTTTGGAAGGCAACTTCTGCCATCTGAATACGGCTTTGAAAATATGGCGCCGGATTTTTCATGAAGGGAATGGAAATGGTTTGATATCGTGAACACAGTATAGTGGGTTCTAGCTGTGAAGGTCCGAGCTGATGGCACCAAGGAATGTAACGTCCGTATATCTACCCTACTAATAATGATATAGTAGTGGGAGTTTGTAGACGTACGGCACTGGAATGTGTGTTTGATAGGTAGGAAGTTATTCATCACCCACAAGGCTGTGTAACCGCTTTTGAATTCTGTTGAGGCCGGGCTGTGAGGATTGGGCAGCATTAGCCCAGCTATGTCAGCAATACTTCATTCTCTGTCTGAGATCTAACCCTTATAAAAACAGAGCTTAGTAACGGCAGTTAGGTATTTTCTGAAGCAATAAAATCAACGTCCATTCTTCCATTAAATTTGGCGTTGGTACGAAAATACGCGTTTCGTTTGAGTTCGGAAAGTTAGCTTTAGCACCCGTATGTATTTGAAATAGGGAGTCTCTTTGAGGGTACGAGCACACATCAGGATTGGTGCAGATTTAAGATCTTGATGATGAAATGTTAGGCGTTTAGTTTTGGATGTATTAAAACATACCATAATTAAGTAATTCCTCGAGACTAGAAGAATGCAGAAATCACTGGGTGGCCGTCTATTTGGGGATTCATCAACATTGCGCATCCATAATGAGAATCGAACCCTGACCGTTAGGATACGACGCAAGTGACATACCCAATGGACCAACGGGTCTCGGCGACAAAGAGGTAACAAACTAGACTCGATATAGCGCCGCTCTTCACAAATTCCGTCGTGTAATTCATCCACGTTTATTTAGCCGAATGGACTGTGCCCCCACGAGTCACGTTTTTTCCCCGTTGAGCTGTGAAAGTTAGATCAGATAAGAGATCAGCTGACATCCACTGGTTATCAAGAAGTCTGGAAGTGCAGAATTATGTGCCATCGTCTTCATATATATTTACACATATTTGAGGGTTTACTTGGGGAGATCATTGACTTAAACGTTTACGACTTTTGACTTGGGTCTTCGGAAATCTTGTGTTGATGGGAGACACAGAAAGAAAACTTCTACACATGGTAGTGAAGGTAAATCATTAATTGTAAGACTGTGTATGATTGTCAGCAAGATGCAAATTACAATCTGGACATTTCAAAATCAAATAACTACAGGAATTTAAATATATAGAAAATCTTTTAATAGATAACTAAAAATGTGACACCAATATTCGAAGGTGCGTTGGAATAGCGAAAGATGTCTTCCAAAAATTAAACAAAGTATTAAGAAACAGGAAAATGTTTATTAGAAATAAAGAAAAGGCATGAACTAAAAATCCTTCTATATGGCATTGAATGCTGGGCAATTTCACCACAGAGGAAGACGACACTGGGACAATAGAAATTTGTCTCAACAGAAAGATGCTGAGAATGCCATTAAGGGAACATATAAACAACAAGTATGTTTTAAAGAAAGCGAATCATCATGGATTGGTTTCGCAAAACGAAGATCAAGAAGAAGTCTGTACACGTCGCTTGCAATAAGTCTGTAACTGCTAAGTCCAATTTGGAACAGGCATACACGGTTGCAGTAGTTTGCAGTTGAAAGTCCAGCGTGGGCTCGATGGCATAGAGCTGCATTACTTCCTCCCCTGCCTCTTCTTCTTGAGAGAAGCCCTGCCTGCATTTTCAAAGAAAGAGATAGCCTGGTTGGTGGTAAGACGTCAGGCTTCACGCTTCTCAGCTCGGGCTGACCATTGACAATATAGAAGAAAATAAATACAAGGAGGACAATTATACATAGATTCCGACAAAGATAGTCGAAACACACGATGAGAAAAGAAAGCGTTGAAATTTGACACACACAGAATATATTGGTGACATGTGGATCAGGTGAAATCAGTTAATAACCGAGCAAAGGACATTTTGTAAATCAGAGGGTGAACAGGGATGGGGAGGGATATTAAAAAGACAATTATAAGAGCTCTAGATACGTATTTTGGTTATTGCGGAATGATAAAATTTTGGTCTTTAATTTCTGGGTCAAAAAGGTAAACTTATTAGCTAAAGGTAATTAGTCTAGTTAAAATATTCTCTTTGATTTTCTGACACATTTATGTTGCGTGAGGGGGGAGTCATAATCACAAAAAAATTAAAGGAACACAGCAGAGAGAATGAGAATATATGTATAGTATATGCTTTTTGATCAACAATTTCGTACGGCGTTTCGTTTTTTTTCTTTCTTTTTTGCTAGATGCCATGAGAAAATTCTAGTTTTAACTAAAATATTTATTCAAGCTTGTTTTTTTTTATTGCATCGTTGCATAATTTTTATAATATCCGTAAGCATTAACAAAAAAAATGAATCCAATGGAGCTTGTATAGTTACGAACATTGCAATTGGAGGAATTAATAATATTTAATATATTTTATTCTAATAAAAGTAAAGATGTAACGGAAATAAAAAAATATACAAGTTATGCGAAAGACCGTATGTATCAAAAATGGTTTACTGTTGACTTCTCGGTAAATGATTTTATTGAAGAAAGTTATACATCAGTAACCACTGAGAGTGGAATTCATTTTGCTGTAAGTTGAAAATACTAACCATCGTCCAGTGAATCCGCACTTGAAATACTCAATATAGACATGAATATATATATATATATATATATATATATATATATATATATATATATATATATATAACTCCAGTTTAGGGGTAATGATAAATGGAAGAGAGAATCGCGTCACGCTTTAAAGTGTCCATGAATCGAAAAAGAAATTTTGAATAACGGCACTTGATATTCATACATTTACATGGACACGAATATTGACATCTGTTATTTGGAGGATATTGACGACATGTATGTTTTGTAATCTGCCTTTAAAATATCGATATATATATATATATATATATATATATATATATATATATATATATTAGGGAAAAGTATGTGACAAAGTGGAAAAGTGTTTCGTGTTACGCGTTTATGTTTTCGTTGATGCAAATACACATGCACACAGATGAAAGACAGAGGTTGAAAATTTTAAATTATAAATCGGTTTCTATACACACACACACACACACACACATATACATATATATATATATATATATATATATATATATATATATATATATATATATATATAAACAGACCA